TAGTTATGAATTGAATAAGTTTTCTTTAATAAATTTTCACTCACATAAATCGTTATATATCAATATTATATATGAATGATCAAATATTGACGATATTTGCCCAGTCAATTAGCATACTACAGAGTATCCGGCAGTCGTGCATCTGCTCTGAACACACATACATATTCTAACGTGGCTAATACATACGTCTTGCGCTTGCAGTCGTGGGGCAGCGAAAAATTAGGTGGCAAACAGCGACTTAAATGGTAGCCCATTATGGCATTAGTCGGCCATAGTTATAATTGGCTTGCATTCTTAGCCAAATGCTGTGGAATTTTGAGGTTGGCGGCAGGGAAAGCCTTGAAGTGAGCCAACTTTGCATACTTCCAATTGGAACTGGAACTCTTCATCTAACTAGCATAGTTTGTGTGGTTCATTGAGCTCGTCTATGCGCTGTTCAGCAATGTATTACTAATTGTTTTTGATTATTTTATATAAATCCGTGTGTGTTCTATGCCATGAGTTGGCCACGAGTGCCAGAGGAGTGGCGGGAGGGGGAGGGGCAAAGTGCGGTTTGCGTTGCGTGAAACCTGTTTTAGATTTCCGGTTATGTACATTGAAAATGTTTATCTCTCCATAGTAGCCGCTGGCCAATATCAACCAATTATCAAGAGTGCTGCAACAAACACCTTGCAACGACTTCTGAAATATTCAACTGGCAGAACAAATACCTGAGCAAGTGCCAGGTGAGAACTAGCTCTGCTCTAAACTAAATAATACTATTCGCATCAATTTGCATTTGGCTATTGAGTGATAGAAGCAACAGCATAGGCCACCTCCATATACACATTATCCTCCTGTTTGTTTCTCATTCGTAATTATACTTATTATGCCGATTTCTGGCTGCTGCTGTAGCACAGGTGTTGAGTTTTGCCAATCGAACGTAAGTGAGGTGTTCAATTAGAGCGCACTTAAAACGCGCTACAATTAGCGTGCGCAAATTTTCAAATATTTAGCAGACAAAATATTTTTGCGCCAGCTTCGAAAGTGTTTCATTGAATATTTGCTCTCACTGAATTTGAGTTGGTTTTTGGTTTTTGGATTTGTTGTTGTTGTTGTTGTTATTGTTGCCATGACGAAATAATTTACAAATTGCGCAAAACTGGTTTTATACAGTGGCCAAAAGAATTCACAACAGCGACAACAACTGAATGCTCAATGAATCTTTTTCAGCTGCCGCTGCCGCTGCCGTTGCTGCTGCTCGCCTCCAGAGCGATTCCCCAGACAGTTCTCTGTGCCAAAATCACAAAGAACCAAAAAATAAAAACAAAAAACAATAATAAAAAGGAAATGAAAACAAACAAAATGAGTCAAATGGCACGCCCAGTTACCAGTTACCAGTTACCAGTTGGCCACTTGGCCAGCTTGTCAGATTGTCCAGTTGCCTGGTTGCCCAGTTGATCGGCTGCCCAACTCTGAGCTCTAGCGATAAGGCGACAAAAACGCCCACCGAACACACAGAGAGAAGAGAGAGAGAGACAGAGAGAATCCTAACTGAACGCGAAGCGACAAAGGGAAATTGATTCAACAACATTCATTCGAATTTATTATATAATCAATTTGCTTGAGAATGCGGTTGGGGCTCACACCAAAGAACTTGATTGGGCTTCTGATGGAGTACGACTTAAGCCAAACGTATTTCATTATTTTCGAAAACAATTTTCTTTTCCAATTTTCCAATATTTATACATTACTTATAGGTATTTGAACAGATCTATTAAGAGCTGTCAAGCTCTATTGATAAGCAATGGATCTTGAATGTCGAGCATAAGGTATGTCAAGATCTCTCAAGAATTATACATAGTTCAAGCTAAGATAGACTTAGGATAGCAATAGCTTTGATATAAAGCAATAGATCGCTTAACAATAAAAGTTAAGTTAGAACATGAGGGTATGGCATAAGATCTATTAAGATCAATCAAGCTCTTTCGTTAATCAAAGCTAAGATAGGTCCTGCAGATAGGGCGTACACATAGCAGAAGATATTAAAAAGATCTATTGATAGTCAAACCTTAGATGGGTCCTACAGATAGAGCATAGATCAATCGAGACCTATTAAAAGTCAAGGCTAAGAAGGGTTCTGACAATAGGGCATAAGATATGTCAAAATCTATAAAAATCTATTAATGGTTAAAGCTAATAATTAAAGCAGAATTCTTTCACAGATTTTATATCCATATTCCATATTTTATTTCAAGATCTATAATATTTAATGATTTTATTTAAAGATCTATTATATTTAATGACCTTTCGTAATTATGAAAGAGATTGCATCATTTTCTTTGGAACTCATTTCATAATGAGCTCATGGTTTTTTTTTTTAAATTATGCAAATTGATTAAGATTAGCTGGAAATATTCTGTTTCATTAGCTTGGAATGAATTTCCAAAGTCTATTTTCGAAAAAAAAAAAACTAACTAATATGGAAAGTTATGAAAATCTATGTTGTCTTGATATATATATATATATATATATATATATTTATATTTGTATAAATTTGTATTCTTTGCATTCCTTGCATTGCATAGTTCAGTTGTACTTCAAATTTCAAGTATTTTTTTTTTATATAAATTATTAAGCCAGAGTTTTCTATGGCAATAAATTTGCAATTAGCTGCATTTGCCATACTCACTCAGCATGCCAAAACTTGAATGCAATCGCTGCAAATTTGCTCCAGTTAAAATGATGCTGGGGTCGCTTTGAGCATCTCTGAGATTGAGCCAAATACCAAGAGAAATAGCAGCTGCGAAAGCGAATGCATTGATGGCAAAGGGTAGCCAAAGAGAGAGAGAGAAGATATAGAGAAACAGAGCGAGAGAGAGAGGGAGAAGGAAGACTCTGTTGCTAACGGCTATCATCATGCCATGTGAGAGAATTTGAAATCAGAGCCGAAGTTATATTTCTTTCTTTTTTTTCTTTTTCAATTTTTTGTTGATGTTGCAATTTCTATGCCGTTGAGGCATTAAATTGCATAATTAGCAAGTTTGCCGCTAAGAGCTGTCGAGACGCAGATAGATACATATATAGAGCCCTGTAGCAGTTGGCTCTGGCGCTGGCTCTGGCTCTGGCTCGGGGTCTGGGTCTGGGTCTGGGTCGAAGTCTGGGTCTTGCTTTTCGGTCTCTCTTCGCACAACACACACGTGATCGCGAAATGGAAAGCGCCCTCTTATCTGCTATATTTCTTCAAAGAGCTTCGCAATTTGCAGCTGGCACAGTTTTTTTCGTTTTTTGTTTTTTCTTGTTTTGGCGAGCCACTCACTCAGCAAACAATTGAGAGTGTGGCTAGATCTCTGCCAAATTCACACGTTGCACTCCGATAGGCACAGCAGCAGAAATAATAATAACTCAGAGTGCTCCAGTGAAGCTGGCCGGACTAGGCGCTGGATGCTACAGCTAGAGGCCTAGCGTTTCAGCTTTAAAAAAAAAATAGTCTTAGAAAAAGCTTCACATTCTTGAATATGGATCTTGAAAGCAGCCTCAATCGAGTCCAGAGAATATATAGAAATTGCTGCGCAGCATAAAAATATTATATTTTAGTTAGATGTTTAAGCAATATCATTTATAGTCGTTTCTTAAATATTTTTTAATATATCTATTTATATATATTTTTTGTTTTAAGTTTTTTGCTTTTAACTGCTGTAACATTTTTTACCAAAAACTAAAATGAATTTTATAGCCGGAAATAATGAAACACCAAAAATTTGTTTAATAGCTTAATCAAGTTTAAAACGTCATCATCAACGCGATGATCATGGTGTTGATCATCTTGCTCATAATGATGTTTGCGATTAACATAAAAATTGATTTGGTTTTCCCTGGGGAGCACACACACAAACATACATATACACAGATATATATATATATATATTTGTTTCTTATTAAGGCTTTTAGAGTGGAATGCCTTTTTGATTAATTACAAGGCGCTGGACTGCAGCCAGCCGCCCGGAACCCTTGCCCCAATCAGAGCCCTATACCATTTGTCTTATTCTTCTTCATGTTGGCTTTGCTGCCATTGCTACCACAACTGCCACGGCTTGTGCATTACAGCGCGTTGTACCTGTCGTGTCTCATGTGGATGATGAAGAAGAAGAAGCAGCAGCAGCAGCAGAAGTAGAAGGTTGGGCCCTTAATTTGGCTGCCCCTGAGAAGTTGAGAAGTTACGAGCAGATCTTTTCGGGTTCAACTGAGTTCACAGTGCGCTCTGTCTTTGGGTTCTTAAAGGTATTTATTTACCTTATTTTCATTTTTATTCTGTGGTCTTGCTGTATGCTTTGCTCTGTCCCCCAGCTTGTCTTTTTGACTCTGTTTGTTGTTGTTATCATCTTCACTTTTTTTTGGTTTTATTTGAAACATTTACATAGATTTCTAGCTTCATTCTTTAGGGAATACCCTTACATAAAGAATGCGAAGATTTTCGCCCAACGACCATAAGCTCTACTAAAAAGCTTCCATTTCATTAATAATAATATTGAAAAATAAAGAATAATAATGCCATAAATATAAACAATCTATAATCGCTCAAAAGCTTGCATACAAATGACTTGAAGAGCATAAATTCTTCGTCTTGGACGCTCCAATTTGTTAATATTTGGTTGACTGTTTCTTTTTCTTTAGTTATTTTTTTTTGAGCGGTTTTTATTGGGTCGCCGCTTATCATTATTCAAATATTTTACCTAGACACACACACATTCCGATCTGGCCTACCATCTTTTTAATGAGCGATAACAATTACATGTACACACACACACAGACATATACATACCTAAATACATACATACATTCATTTATACTGATATACACTTTCGACTTCTTTTGGGTTCGACTTTCGTAATTACAAACAACTGACGCTCTCAAGTGCAGCATTTCCGCTGTTCAATATTAAAAAGGGGGATGAATAACCATAGAGCAGAGGTGCACTCGAGAGGGGGAGACGTGGTGGCGGGTTGGAATATGTTACTCACCTTGCCGGCTGCCTTTTTGTAGCGTCGCGTGGCCTCGCTGATCAAATCCCGGACGAGCAGCTCGCCGGTGCCACAAGGCACCAAAATGCGAACATCGCCGAAACAAACGGTAACCTTCATAGTTTCGATAACACTTTCGATAACACTTCAATTAAATATATTAATAATAATGCACTTGTATGGAATGTCTTTTTGCAGTTGCACTCGTTGTCGTCGTCGTCGTTTTTGTTGTTGTTGTTGTTGTTATTATTATTAATGTAGATACATATTTTGCTCATCTGTACGTTGTTGTTGTCCGTTACTGGCATTTGGCTTTGGCATCATCTTCTCCTTTCATCTGCTCCTCAGCAGCTGCATACGTTTGTTTGCTTGTATGTATGTGTGCGTGCGCGTTGCTATTCATCTAGCTGGACAGTGTGTGCGAGCGAGCGAGATGGCCTGCACTACCACGCTTAAAGGACTTTGGCGTCGCTGCTGCGGCTGCGGCTACGGCTGCGCACTTGACAGCAGCTGTACACACGACGAGAAAAAACGTTTTTTTTTTGTTCACCTACCACCAGACAGAAAGAACTATCGCGTGTGCGTGCGCGCTTAAAGTTGCGTATGTGTGTGTGTGGTGTGTGTGTTAGTGTCTCTGTGTGTGTGTGTGAAAGAGCGCCGCTTTGTATTGTTTTATTTTGTTATCGTTTTTATCTCTCGCGCTCTCAATGCAGGATGCACTCGTCAACGCACTCGTCTCGCTCTTTTAGCCGTTTTACGCTTTGCCTTTTGCTTTGTTTATTTCATTTAGCATATTTCACTGCATTTTCTGTTAGCGGTTGTTGTTGTATGAATCACACGCGCAAAACGAGTTACAATAACAACATTTCAACAAAACAAAAAATAAGGCAAACAACAGGCCAAGATCATCGGAAACGTCGTAACCGAACGCAACAACAACAAATATAAAACACGTTAGACAACAACAATAATACCAGCTGCACCCCGCGAACTGCAACGGCAATTGCAAATTTTTTGTTGTACCACAACAAAAATAGTTTAAAAAAATACACAATAATTTGGTTGCTTGACTCGCGTTTTTTAGCAGCTTTTTGCTTTATTGAAAAGTTAAATTGTCTCTTTTACCAACTGGTGGCACAGATATTCCGTTCGATCATTTTTCGTCGCACCGTTCGCAACGTCGTTTCGTGGTTATCTTCGCTTTTATAAGTAAGCGTCGTTTCTACTTTTAATTCGTTCTCTTTTGTTATGATTGCACCTACAGTTATATGTGTTTTGGTATTTGCACTTGATTCGTTAACGATTCTACACAATTATCATTTAGTGGTTCTTAACGTGTTATTTCAAAAACAAAAACAAAAAAAAAACAAATTCTTTAGCGTTGAACATCGCGCTGCGCTACGAACGCTGTCTCCGCGTTAAATGCCAACAACAACTAGACAAGTCTGGGAATATCGGATTATCGATATACATAACTATCGCCATATTGAGTCGATATTTTAGCGCTTACAGTAGTTATGTGCATAATATTTAAGTTAAATATATCGAATGTGTTTGCGTGCCCGCTCACTATGTGCGGCAAATTCTTAAAATTTAATTTTTGACTGTATCAAAATTATTCATTTTAAATTTTCAAGCATTACACAGAGCTGAAACACTTTTATTAAAATTATTTTTATTCAACCATATATATATTAATTTATCAAGCCAGATATTGGTTAGATTGTTTATGATTACAAACTAATTGTATTTTCAGTGCGGTGATTATTGAAAACCATTTAGGATAATTAAAGAATCATTAGTATTACGTCCAATTGGGTTTGTCGACTTTGACTACAAAATCTTGCCGCGCAAACGTATGACCAGACTTACCAAATTGAATGTGACCATATATTATGTCGTAGCTGACTAGCTTATCGAATGCAATCTAATTAAATCGATACACATATATGCAAGAAGCAGGATTCAGTGTGACCAAAATAAAATTGGTTGCGAATTGCGAATGTGTAAATTGGCTATGAGCCCAAGGAGCAAGACGAGATTTGCATAGCATTTGTATTTTCTGATATGGCGGATGGACGCTCAGACGGTACCTATAACTACAAAACTTTGTTGTAAGTATTCAAGTGCAGCTCTCGTGCTTCTAATGACGCCTGAATTTCAGATGCACAAACATACCAGAACTGTTTCTCGACAAATATGTGGCGCGCACGCATTTCGGTCGCTTTGGCAACCTTGTGAACGTTGTGCTGCGTCCTCGACGCATGACCTGCACTGTGAGTTATGCCACCGAAGCTGAGGCAGCCTTTGCACTGCGCGAGGGTAACATCTACAACGGACACGAGTTCGAGATGAGCTATGCGGAGAATGAGACCGCGCCGGCACAAAAGACAGAGGAGTGGGTCGATCCTGACGTGCAGGCGGAGCTAAGTGTCTTGAGTGCCGGCTGGCGCAACGAATATGGAAATAACAAAGCGAGCGCAGCAAAGACACAAGCTTCAGCTGCAACTGCATTTGGCACAAGCAAAGCTGCTTCAACTCCAACGAGCGGCAATGTTGATCGGGAAAGAGAACGAGAGCGTGAACGTCAACGAGCACCCGCTCAATTCAAAGCCGCCAAACAGGAACTGGAGTCAATAATGCGCAAGCCGGCGCATACAAGCGAAGAAAAATATCGCGTGTTGGATGCACGTGACAAATTGTTGCGACTGAATCAAAAACGCGGCACAGCGGATGCTCAGCGTCTGCAGGGCCATTGTCCGGATATGTGCCCGGAGAAGGAGCGTGTGCTGCGGGAATTTCAACGACAGGTGGCCATTTACGAGCTTAAGCCGGGCTCCGATGAGCAGATCTGCCATGAGCTCGCCTTGAAGCAATATTCCCGCAGCAGCGCCGATCAGGAGACACCGCTACCTCATGAACTGCGCGCGGAACCCGCACTTCATATGACCATGAGTTACCTAATGCACGAGATAATGGATGTAAGCGAAAAGACGGATAATCTGGGCGATTGGTTCCATTTCGTTTGGGATCGCACACGCTCCATACGCAAGGAGATCACACAGCAGGAGCTGTGCTCTCTCAGTGCCGTCAAACTGGTGGAGCAGTGCGCACGCTTTCACATACACTGCGCCGCCCGCCTGGTGGCCGAGGATCCCAGCGTCTTTGACGCCAAAATCAATGCCGAGAATTTAACAAAATGTTTGCAAACGCTCAAATACATGTACCACGATCTGCGCCTCAAGGGCGTCCAGTGTCCACGCGAGCCCGAATTCCGGGGCTATATCGTGCTGCTCAATCTGGCAGACGCTAACTTTCTGTGGGACATTGGTCAGCTGCCCGTTGAGCTGCAAAACTGCTCGGAAATCCGACGGGCCATTCAATTTCATTTGGCGCTGCAGGACACGAACTTCGTGCGTTTCTTTCAGCTGCTGAGCGAACCGGAGACGAGTTATTTGAGCGCCTGCATTCTGATCACCTATTTTATACGCCTGCGCATTTTGGCCTTGCACCGCATCGTGCAGGCCTATCGAGCACCCCGCAAATATGAATTCTCCTCACTGCCCGTCAGCTATATACGCCAGATGCTGCTCTTTCCCAGTGATGAGGAGACAGTCCAATTTGTCGAATGCTGCGGCTTGAATGTAAATCAAGCGGATCGCGTCGAACTGACGCGCATTCATACACCGGAGCACTACAAGCTGAGCAGACAGTTCGAGGTGAGTGCAACGACAGCTTTGAATGAAGATAAGAGATTCCTGCTTATCCGCATTGACTTTGCTTCTTCTACTTCTGCTCTCACTCTAATCGGTTCGAACTAATTTCTATCTCTTTCTCGCTCAGTTAGTGGAATCGAAGCGTCAGCAGAGCGTAGGCGAATGCATTTGTGGCGAGCCGTTGCCGCCGAAGTCACTCTACAGCAATCATCGGCCACACAACAGCTTTAATGAGCAGGGATACCTTAAGACCAGCGCCTGGACGGCCAGAGATCAGCTGCCGAATAGCGAGGAGCTGGAAGAGGAAATAAGAGTAGCTCCAAGGGCAACAGTGCGAGCTGCGAACACAGAAACAACAGCAGCAGCTCTTCAGAGCACAGCACCGATTGATAATCTGTTCAAGGTGCCGCTATTTTCGGTACCCATATCGCCAAAGATCAAGGCAACCACGCCACCACCTCAACTGCCGCAGTCACAGCCGCAGTCGCAGCCGCAGCCGCAGCCGCAGCCACAGCCCACATTCAGTATGCCAGCGCAGACAAGTAACAATATCTTCGGCATCGATACGCCGCAGCAGCAGCGCGCTGTTGTACTTGGGAGCAACATGGCTGAACCAAAGCCCAGCCAGAGTTCAGCCATTAACTTCAGTTTTGTAGCCGCCGTTGCTGCCACGACGGCAAAGCCGGCACCAAGTGCGACTAGTGTAGCCGAGCAACAGCGACATCCGAAGGCCGCCGAATTGGCTGCACTGCAGCAGGCCATCGTGGCTACTAAGCAGCGTGAGCTGGAACTGCTAGAACTACAAAAGGCCAAGGCGGAGCAAGCGGAACGTGCGCGACGGCAGCGACTGCTCGATCAAAAGCAGGCCAAGGAGAAGCAACATCGTCAGCAGCAGGCACAGGAAGCAGCCGCAGCTGCTGCAGCAGAGGCGGTAGAGGCGGAGCGTCGGCGCTTGTTACGCATCGCAGTGGAGCGTGAGGCACAGTGTAAGCAGCTACTGGAAGATTTGATCGCTGAGCATCTGAAGGATTTGTGTAATCTGGAATATCGCCTGCATCACAGTGCCGTGGCCATATACGATTCGCTGCTGGAGCAGGAAATTGTCGAGCTGGTCAAAAGGAACATGCTGCGCACCGACTACGAACTGGGTCTGATGCGTCACTACTGGCGACGCTGGCGCAACTATCGACGTGTGCAGCTGCGCAAGGATGCGCTCTTTGCCTGCCTGCCGCTGAGCTTTGGCGGCGAGTCCAGCGAACGACTGTTAAATGTGAAAACGGTGGAGCAGCCGTTGCGTCTAATGCGGCGCTATCGTCAAGGCGAGGCGTGCGACTATCGACAGCTGCTGGCGGGCATGGATGATCACTGCTGGCTCAAGCTCGATATCTGGGAGCTGCTGTCCCGCACGCTGCAGCAATACACGCCTGGTGCTCGTCACTATTTCAAGCTGTTGCTATCGCTGCCCGACAGTAGCGCGGGCCTCGTCATGGAACATGCCTTGGATCGGGGTGTGCTGCAACAGCCAATGCAGAGCGAAGGTCAACGATCGGATGCAGATGGTGCCTACATAAGTGGACTGGCACATGGTGTCGCATTGTGCGTCCACAAGCTGAAGGGCATGCCGCAAGCGAATGCTAACCAGCTGAGCAATACAGATGGCATTATATGCTTCGTGGATGTGAAGCAACTGCCAGAGGCGCGTCAACGCTTGCACAGCTTGATCAGGAACAGTGGCTGCGAGTATGTGGCGCTGATTGTGCAGCAGCAGCAGCAGGAAACGCAGGAGGCGCTTCTGGCGGAGCAATTACAGCTTGAAACGTTGCGCGCGTATCGCATCTTCGACTGCCGCACCATGACACGTGGCAAGCAGAAGCTGCAGCTGGTCGCTCTGCTTCAATGTGCAATTCAATTTTTGGCCAAGCAGCCGCATCGCAGTCGCAGGTCACTGCAACAGATGGAGCTGCGCGAATGGCTGCTCCGCCACTTGGGCGATGAGCTGTATGATCGACTGCGCTATGCGTCGCAGAGAGATGCGACCATTGGACGGCGCTGTCGTCAGTCGCCTCAGTTCTGTGTTCAGCTGTACAACGAAGCAGTGCGCCGTCTGCAGCTGGTGGCGGGCGAGCAGCTAGAAGATCGACCACAACTGCCACAGGAGCTGCGTGTCTATGTTGAGCCACTGCCGCCGCAGGCACCGTTGCCCAATCGACTGGAGTACTTTGTGAGTGGCTGGCACACGCGTGAGCAGCGAGCGAAGATTGTGCAGCTGCTGGAGCAGGCCAAGCTGCCGGAGATGTTGCCGCTGCCAGCGACAAGCGACAAATCGCAACGAGAGCTTTGTGAATGGCTCCTCAACTATGCACAGCTGAGCGAAGAGGAATCGCATATTGAAACTGTGGCACTGCGTGCGATACAAACACTGGAGCTGCAGCTACGCACGGGCAATCCTAACTATCTAGACATTGTCGAGATCTTTGCCAAGGAACGTCTACATTTTGTACTGCAGCGCAATGCCGCATCGGTGCCAGTAGCCATTGTTTACAGACGTCACACCATGCATCGTCAATTTGAGACGCACTGGTATTATATGTGGCAGCCACCTGAAGAGCCAGCAGCAGCAGATGAACAGCCGCAAGATGAAGAGCTGGCGCTGGAAATAGACGCATTAACGCAGCAAGAGCCGATTAGCTATGAGCAAGTGCTGCAACAAGCGCAAGCTGCGTTGGACAAATGCCAGCAGCAACATGTTGAGCGCAAGACTTTAACTGTGTTGAACGAACCGCTTGACACACTGGAGCGCACCATCGAACGATGCGACCGACAGTCTCTAGCCGGGCAACACGAGCAGCATCAGCGACGACAGGCTGAAAACTTGCCAATGCAGCCGGTCAACAAGCGTCAACGTCTTAGCGCATCAGATGAGTGTGCAGCTGTGTTGGATCGCACCGAGAGGCTGCTCAATGTCAGTCAAACGGCTGAAGAGAGACGTCTTCAAGTACTGCAACGTGCCAATAAGTTTTTATAAGCGCCGACGCATTTATTTATACTATATACTTTTTTAATAATGTAACGTAAATAATTTAATAAATATATTTTTAAAACATACATTTAAATAATCACCCAGTGCTTGAGCGGAGTTTGCGTGTTGCCAATTAGCGCCAAAAAGTCTACCTTACACGCTTTACAACACTGTACATCAGCTGTGGGTGTTATCGCATTTAGTTCAGTTAAAATTCAAATTGTGCGGCGCCAAAAATTATGCTTCATAAGCTAAACAAACATCATATCAGCGTAGTGGAAATTCAAATTCTGAGGCGCCAAAAAGTATGCCTCGCACGTTGTGCTAAACTGTTCGATTAACAATGCCTCGCCTTCTATCGATTGCACATTGATTGGATAGTGTTCAAAAATTAACGCACGTCATTTTATAACAAACTAAAAAATCATGTAGGCCTTGCTGGTTACTTTGCTGGCAATTGTAAAATAAAATTCATTAAAACACAACCACAGACCAAATTAAGTTGAAAAAGTACAAAATTTCTCCTGTAGAAAGTAAAAATTTTATAACGCCGTACTTGAGCAATTTCTAATTGGTTGCAAACCACAAAGAGAATAGGATTCGTATGCGAATTGATAAAAATTATCAAATTATTTTTTAGAAATTTGACTTTAGAAATTTGTGCTGTATTGAGTCGTTTGAAGCTTAAACGCTAACAAAATGAATAATCTACATGGATTAGGCTCTCTGCGCTTGCTGCCCTTTGGAGGTAAGCAACTACATATATATATATAGATATATATAATATAACAAGGAACACCTAAGGCCCCACTCAAAATCCAGTTTCCGCTATTTTGAGCACTTATCGATCGGTACGTTCTCGCTTGATAAGAAAGATGTCGGTTGCCATGATACGAAGACGATCGAACTTAAGCTTCTTGGAGAAGAGATCGATTGATGGAGAGTCCAATGCAGCAACTGGGTGTGCACGACTGCCAATAGCAATGCGCCGCTATCCAAAGACGCGGACACCCAATCGGGGTAACAATGACCCATTGATGCTGCCCACATCGAATGTCTGGGCCAGTTTTCATTCACAACGGAGCTATACGACAATGGGCGAAAGATTTGAGAGAGCCAAAATGTTGAAGAGGCCCAAGGATAGGATCGACCGCCCATTGGTGCCAATGCTAGTATTTCAAACCGAACCAAAATACCAAGGGAATCTGGCAGCCGACAGGAATGAACAGGTCATATCGGGGAGCAAAATGCTGAAGCTCCTGCGCGACGCTAAGAAGCCAGTCGAAGGGGGGAAGCCAGACAAATCGCAGAAACCACTGTTGCCCATAATGCATATACACGATAAGACGGATCAATTGGTGAAGGCCCGTGCAGTGCGCAGCTCCCGAGACATGCGGCCATTTATACATCCGAAGCGCCAACGGATACCACCCGTTATAAGAGATCGCGCACAAAGCCTAATATGCATGGATCCGGTGTTGAAATTCGCAACGGCTGATATGCCCTTCTTGAATACAACCGACAATCCGTCGCGTTACCTAGAAACTTATGAGACGCGTCTGAGGGCGTTGCGTCAGTCAAAACCACTCAAGCTGAAAGTGCCAACGGCATCGAATAGCGGTAACTTGCATTTACGAAATCGTTTAGTCCAGAGGTCCTTGAGCCAAAGAAGCCACCGTCCGACAAGTTTTTCACCAAAGCAAGAATTTCACGGGTCCCCAATGCAGTTGCCCAGTATTAAGCCATTCAAGAAGTCGATGCCCTACAACAAGCGTAGCACGAAGCTCACGCGCCCCAAAAAGATTGTAGAAAAGCCGGTTGAGAATCTGGTTAAGCAGGTTAGGAAGATCAAACATAAGGAGCGGGATAATCTCAACAATTTACTGGGGGATCTATTGGATCAAAATTCATCCAAACAAAAAGTTGGGGCGATTGAATTCCACAAGATATCGCCGCTTTCCAAGCTGGTCACTACCAGCATGGAGGGTCGCAGCAAATTGCATACTCGGGCCTTTGAAAATCAACTGAAGACGCCGACGCTATATACAAGTCAGACATTCAGGAATCACAATATGTCGACAGGTGCCAGTCGACGTTCCACATTATTGGGTCACCAGGCAGTAGTGCGAGCCAGAGCCAGGCAGGAGAATAAATTGAGCTTGCTATTGAATGCCGATACCCAATACCAGAGCGAGGACGACGGGGACGACGACGACGACGACGGCGACGACGGCGACGATGATAAAAATGATGAAAACAAAACCGACAATGACGACATTAACTAAAGCCGCCGGCTACAACAGCTATAACAAACTAAAACATGACATGAGACTAAATATACAAAGTATAAAATCATTGCCAAACAACAATATGCATCTCTCTCTCTTTTTCTCTCTTTCTGTTCGCAACTACCTACATATTTATGCCTTGCTCCAAATTCTGGTTTTATTCATCGGGAGAAGTCAAAGCACCTTTTCATCAATCTCGGCTGCGCACGCAAATTCGGTGTGAAAAATTTAAATCAAAAAAAAATTAAATCAAATATGGAAATCATCTAAATGTAACAAAACAAAAAAAAACCAAAAAAAAAGAAACATTATTTGTAAAATGACTATTTATAACAGTTTGTACGAATAAACATGACGAATCGATTTTTTTTAAATTTTCTTATAATTATTCTAGAAATTTTAGAAAAGGGAATAGCATCTACAGAGAGTGACAGAGAGTGAGCTATTACCGACTGTGACACACACACACACAGCCATACATAGGCACACTTAATGCTCGTCATCCGCATCGTAAACATGTTTATCATAATCGATTCTGTTTACTTAGCCCGGTCCAATTATTTCACCAAAACAGGTCTCAATTGGCGCAGCAAACACAAAGCAAATGAAAACAAAAACAAAGCGACTCACGCGATGTTTGCAGAACACCCCCTCCCCCTTCATCTTTCCCTCTCGCTCACTCTTTCTACTGAACACATGAATCAGAGCGACTATTTTCGGTACGCAGTGCGTCGTCAAAGTGCAAGGTCATCCTTTCTAAGGCGCTCACGTGTTTTGGGCTGATCTCTTGGCAGGCGCCCAGCGATTGGAGCATTTCACAATTCAATGCAAGCTAAGCAATTAAAATATAAATAAAATCATCTTCGTCTTTTTTTTATGGCCAGCTACGCCGCCAGCCAAGGAGTATTTGTGGCTGGCGTGCTGCGCGGCGCGAATTTCTATTGAACAATTTGACTAAATTAAACAATTTGCTGTTTCATTAACAATATCATGAATTATTTATGTAAAACTAATTGAAACTAACAAAAACGCAGGAAATAAAAAAAAAAACAGCTTCAAGCTCAACATTTTCGCCATCGATTGATGAGAAGAATTTTTGTATTGTTTTTTTTTGTTATGTTCGATTTGGTTTTTGTTGTTTTTATTGGAGCTGCGGCTGCTGATGTTATTTACTGCAGATGATGCTGCACCTTGCACTGTCGCAGCGCCTCATTGAAGCCCTCGCAGAGGGACAGATCCGATTGACCTTGGGCGCATTGCAGGAACTGTTTGATTTCCCAAGCGCAGGCGCCTTGCGGCTCATTGGCCTGCGCCTGCTGGCCATAGTAGGGCTGTTGCTGCTGTGGTGCAGCCGGTGCGGCAGCGGCTGGAGCTGCGGCCTCCTTATCTCCTGAGCCACTGAACATAGATGTGAGTCCATGGCCGACGGTATGACCAATAGCAGAGCCAACGGCAACGCCGCCAGCAGTGGCAGCCATTTGCTGGAACATCGAGGGCTGCTGTGGTGCTGGCATGCCAACGGCGCTTGGTGGGGCGGCCATCGGGGCTGGCGGTGGTGCGGCAGCACGTGCTGGCACCGGAGCCGGTGCTGGTGCAGCGGCGCGAACGGGCACCGGTGCGCTGCTGTCATATAAAAGAAAAAAAAAACATTAAATTTATTTCCTGCATTGTTTTTGTCACACGGTTGAACTTTGCTCGTTGCACAGTCTTCGTCTCGATTTCCGTGTTTATCTGTTGTTTTAGGTTACGTAACGAATTGCGGCACGGAAACTTCCAGAATTTCCTCAATATTTCATTCAGTCAAATTTAAATTAGCGAATGCGGAATAATGCATCAAATTTTGTTGCAAATGTGTAGCAACTAAGAACAAAGCATATCATTTCATGGCTTTTTTGCGTCATTCTATGTGTTGCCTTTTGTCCACTTGCATATTATTACGCTTTTACAGTTGCACTGTGGCACGCAACTTACCGTCTGGCTGATGGTGGGGGGCTAGCAGAACGTCCACGGCGTACCATTTTGTGATCTCTTTTTATATTATTATTTTATTTGAAATTTGACACGAACTAGTTATTTAGTTATTTACGAGAATTTAACTGTAGGGCTTCGGGTGCTTTGCTTGGTTTTATAAACTTTTATGCAAAACTAGAGTTGCTTGAAATTATAAATCGATGTATGGTGTTATCGATGCTTGCAGTGTTGACAAGTCCCAAACACAGCCAGTTACAGTGCTGCCATATCAATACAGTTATCGATACATTCGTATACGTTATAACGGTTAATGGCGGCGAATTCTGCACGAATTTATTCTCGCTCATTCAGATGCTTTAAAGTTTATTCTCGTACATTCATATGTATTAGTTGTTCATAAAAAGAAAGGTTAAATATGCGATTAACGCTAATTTTGTTATGTATATTTTGTTCGCTGAAAACAATTTCAGCCGAAGACTTACTAGAGCTTAGCTGCATCACGGATGTCCAATGTCTGATGTTCGAAGGCGGCAAATGCATCGATTCTCGCTGCATTTGTACGTCACGTGGTGAAAGCACAGAGCGCGTGGACTGCCGGCCCAAAGATGAAAAGAAAACCAACATCGTTGGTGGTCCGTGTCCCTGCACACTGCCATATACGGAGTGCGACGTAATGACACAGCAGTGTTTCTGCGCCGCCACTTACATGCCCAGTGCCGATAGACGCCGCTGTTTGCCGCTGAAGGTGCCACTGGATGGCAGCTGTGAAATGGCTCGTCAATGCCAATCAATGGAGACGTTTTCCGATTGCCAAATGAACCGTTGCATATGTCAGGATAACTTTAAACCGTATGAGGGCAACTGCCTGGCACAATTGGGTGAGAGCTTCAAATCCCACAATCAATTAGCCACATTCTGAGAATTTGTCCTTACAGATCTGAGCTGCAGTAACAGTACTTCATGCGAAAGTGCTGGCGCATCAATTTGCCTACCGGAAGTCAACAAGTGCGCCTGCTCCAAAGATCATGTGCCCAACCACAATATGACCGCATGCGTTCTGGGCGTTGGCTATGGTGCCAATTGTACGAACGCGACTCAGTGCCAAGTGCAGCTCGGCGCCGGCAGCACGTGCGACAACAACAATCGCTGCAGCTGCAGCACGAAACACTATGCAAAAAGAAATGAAAAGCTAAATAGTACTGTTTGCGAGCCGCATGTGCCATACGGCGCATATTGTCGCCGCACCACGGACTGTCAGCACATGAACGCTGGCGACGACAAGATGTTGAACACCAGGATGGAGTGCATCTGGGGCGAATGCCAGTGCCGTTCAGAATTTCGAGTTGTGAACAATGAACATTGCGCTGTAATCGATGCAGCGGCAACCAACCAACCATGTGTCTTCTTGCCACTGCCAATTCTCATTATTTGGCTAATTTATTCTTCGATATAGAAAAACCAAAAGATAGTCTTAACAGTCAAAATACAAATACATACACATATCAATTGAAATACACACTATATATTAATGTTGTTAATTTTCAGAGGCCGATGCGAGCGGGCGTGCGGCGTGGCGTAGCATTGCCTGGCGTTGCGATCTCCTGTTTGCCCGCTAGCTGCTCTTCACGCTGGGCCGCCAGCTGTTTGCGCTCCTCCATCTCGTGCTGGGCCTGTAACATTTGCTCCTCCATTTCCTTCAGATGCTCAGCGGCCAGTTTCTTTTTGTCGCGGCCGCTGCGCCCAGTTTCCTTTACGGAGAAGAACATCGGTCCCAGCTCCGCCAGCCAGTAGCCATCGACTGCGGTGGCACACTGCATATACTCCTTGGCGGTCATAATTAGCTCATGGTAGACAACGTAGTCGGGCGTGGTGCCCAGCCCATAAAGCGCCGATGTTGGATGCAGATGGCACGGCATGCCCGTCCGCAGATTTACATATTCCCCGATGCCCTTCAGACGTGCTGCCTGGTAGAAATAGGCGGAGCAGATGCATTTGCGCACAATATCCCAATCGGTGCCACACGACTTGACGTTCATCTTCTGCTGCGTCATTATGTCCTTAAGCTGTTGTCGCACCTCACGCACCTTACGCATTGCCTTAATGTGTATGAAGTGTTCATTACACCACGTGGAGCTATAGCTGCAGGCAGAGAATGGCAAATTGAAAGTTGTAGATAAAAACTATTGCTGTTTCGTTCGCATTCTACTCACCTGTTCTGCTTCCACTGCAGATAGACGTTGAGGTAGGTTAAGTGATCCGATTCGGGCACCTGAAACTTTTCGCGCACACCATCCGCCTCCTCTTCGCGTCCTTTGGGTCGATAGAATATTGATGGCACGGATAACATGGATACTGTAAAATGGGAGAAGCTCGACTGATCAGTCACAAGGACAAATGGAATTCTATCATGGCTCACCTATGATAAGGACTTCGGCACTGCACTCCATTTGGCAGGCTACGATGAGCATCTGGCATTGTGGCGGATCCAGTGGGAACTCGGCCATTTGTCTGCCCAGGGTAGTTAGGGCACCCGTGTGATCCAGTGCGCCCAATATCCACAGTTGGTAAAGAGAATTCAAGATGTTGTCCTGGGGCGGTGGATCCATGAAATGGAACTGCAATAGATCGACCACGCCCAAAGACTTGAGCAGCAGCACAGTATTGGCCAAATTGGTACGCTGGATTTCGGGCACAGTCAGCGCTAGCAGTTCGTCCTTGTATTGTCGCTGCGTGTAGAGTCGGAACGCCTGGCCGGGTCCTGTGCGACCAGCACGACCCGAACGCTGATTGGCGTTCGCCTGCGAGATCGGATAGATTTGTAGGGCGTCCATGCCGATGCGCGGATTGTACACCTTCAGCTTGCAGTAGCCAGAGTCAATCACATAGATGATGCCATCCACGGTTAGCGACGTCTCCGCAATATTGGTGGCCACCACGCATTTGCGTACGCCATCGGCGGACTTCTGAAAGATCTTCGCCTGCAGATCGGACGGCAGCTGTGAGTAGATGGGCAAGATGCTCAGCTCTGGTGCATTATCGATTTCGCTGAGACGCTCCTCCAGCACCTCGCAGGTAACCTCGATGTCCTCCTGACCGGGCATAAAGATCAGCATGTCACCCTCATTGGGCGTCAAATGGACCTGCAGCGCCTGTTTAACGGCCGATTCCACGTAATCCTCGCACGCATTCTTGCTGAACATCACATCCACCGGAAACGTACGGCCGGGTATGGTGAATGTCGGCACATTGCCAAAGAACGTGGCAAACTTGGTCGAGTCCATGGTGGCGGAGGTGACAATCAGCTTCAGGTCATGACGCCGTGCCACAATCTGCAATTGAACATAATCAAATAAGGGACTTGATGTAGGGAAAAGCAATCTTAAAGATAAAGAATTTGCCCCGGCTTCTGACTAGACAATACCCTGTAGCCTTGAGCCATGAGTGTATAGTAGAACTCGCATATATGTACATATATACGATCATAATTTACGAACCTGTATAATTACATACATATAGACGACATGACAAAAATTGCATGCATATTTAATGCCAAATCAATTGTGGAGAACATTGCAGCTAAATCTGACGCTTTCTGGGGCATTCCACTTGCTGCTGCTCGATGCTGTGGCCTTGGAACGGCTGTACCCACCCACCGAAATATGCGTGCATGACCCAAATCCCGAGCACCGGCCCCTGAGCTGAGCTAGGCTAAGCAGCGCATCAAGTCAAAGTCATAAAAATTCATGTAGCAGCGCAGCAACAAATATCCTGAGCCAAACTCCCCACACGTCAACTGTGTTGAATTGCGAGCGGGGAAACGAAACTCAACACACATGCACGAAGTATTGCACACCGAGAGGGAGAGAGCGATGGAGCGCAAGTAAGTGTGCGAGCGTAGAGAACGCTCTCATTTTTTCGACTCAAGCGATTTAACGATTTCACGAACCGACGACAAGTCAACGATTGGGTGGTGTAGGTAGGTTGTGGTGGGTGGGTTTGTCAAACATGGCGGCATGGTGAGGGGCCAACGTGCTGTGTAGCACGTAGGCAGCTGAGGACGCATAGCAGATCCTGTGTTCTGTTGCTGTATATGTATATATACGTGCGTGTGTATGTGTATTTAGTGCTTGTGATTGCATGCATGCCTGGGCCAAAGCACAGACAAAAAGCTTAAATTGCTGTTAAACTAATTCCGTTGCAGCACCTGCTGCAGCGCCAATAACAACAACAATAATAACAGCGACGAGCTTCGCGTCACGGGCAACTTAGCAAGCAAATTGCGCATTGGCTTGCAATGCGGCTAGAAAGAGGTAGGCCAAGCCCACAACTACATATACATGATGTTTATTATGTGGCTTATCGGTATATGCACACACACACATAAATACATAAAGACAGACAGTTGTATGTACCTACACAATGTACACATATCGCTTACATGTTGAGAGTGAAGTGTTTTTATGATAGCTCTCCAATGGCAACGCTAACGCCAACGCATTGATTCAAATTTTTATCTCCGAAGCCGAGCGTTAAATGACGTTGAACAATATCCCGTCTGTGGCAATTACGATAGAGCATTTCGATATATGACAGTTAAGTGCTATATGCATGTGTGTATGCGTGTATATTTGCGCTTGCATGTGTGTGTGTGCAAAAAGCTCATTTAAGATAAAGCGCAGGCAAAGGGAAATCGGATTTTGCTGATTGACAAGTCGAGGGAAATACCAATACCGTTACGATATACGAAAGCTCTAACAACTGTAAATCTGATGGGTTGTGCTATTACGTTATGAAGACTAGGTTTGTCTTGTCACAAGTGATTTAATAACTAATAATTAAGAAAATATTGAGGCTAAGACTATTCCATTTTGTTTTGCATGGGGAGAGTGCTTTATTAAGTATGCAGTAAGCTCGTGCTAGTTGGGGATTCCCCGCTAGGAAACACCCCAGGTTCCGATATAAGATATTGCTGGACTCGTAAAACATCCAATATGAAGTTCTCGAAACTCAATTGATTATTGTGTTCGGCAACAATTTTTTTGACTGTAGAGCTCTTATAAACAAGGAATCAAATGCATATACAGTAGGGAGCAAAAGTGTTTCCATAGTTGACACTTTCAACTTTGTGAGTCGATAATTTCTAAACGAATGAAGCAAATCAAAAAAACTTTTTTTTCCAATAATATATAATTAATTCTTAACAAATTGCCGTATATAACAAAAACAAAAAATAATCAGTAAAATATTCAAACAAAGAAAACTGAAACGACACGCATGTGTACAATTTTGCACCTTCAGTGAAAAAAATTTAATATGATTCTAAATCAATATTTTGTCCACAGGCCCTTATTAGCTATTACATTTTTTATTCAGTTTGGCATACTCTCGACCAACTTTTCTATGGTTTCCTTTGGAACTCGGTTCCACTTCAGTTCTACACGCTTCCAAAGATCGTCTAGGTTGGATGGCATTGATTGATATTGCCCGAGCCGTCGCTTCACGATTGACCACAGGTTCTCAATCGGATTGAGTTCGGGACTTTTAGCTGGCCACTCCATCAGCATAAAATCTTGGTTTTGTAACCATTCGCGGACAGTTTTGGCAGTGTGCGTCGGATCCCCATCTTGATGAAAAATGATTTCCTTTACGGGGTATGCACACTTGTCCAGAAAATTGGGTAGACAGGTTTTCAAAATATTGAGATGGTCTTCTTTTAACATTATACCATCAATTTTATGCAATGGTAACCAAGTAAAGCATCCCCAAACTTTGACATTGCCTCCTCCATGCTAAACGGTTTGCTTCACATGGTGTTTTTGAAGCTTTTCCCCGGACCTGTGCCAATAGTATTGCGTGCCATTTGATTGAAAACGGTTGAACTTGGATTCATCCGACCAGATAAAACGTTTCCAATCATCTACAGTCCAGTTCTTGTGTTCCCGGGCGAATTTCAATCGACCCTTGACATTCTTCTCGGATAGAGCTGGTTTATTTTGTTTCACACTTGCCACATATCCAACTTTAGCTAGTGCTCTTCTAGCCACCCGCCGACTCACGTCTTTCCCTATGTCCATAGATGCTTTCTTCGGTGTTAGGAACTTATCAGTTCCCATAAGTCTGGCGTCAGAGTCCTTTAAGAGTCGTTTGCGGCCTTTAATAGTGTTTTTGGATGTACCATTGCGTCTTTTCTGGACTTCGGACACCGCTGAATGAAAAATATTAAGCTGATCTGAAGTACTACGAGTCGAACAGCCACTTTCAGTTAGGCTAATAATACTATTTTCGACATCTGACGAACGCTTCTTCATTTTTTCGCGGTACTTTGTAGACTAATTGCTAAAATTAACAAATCTACTTCAAATAATAAGAAACACGTGGATTTCTGGATCATAAAAGTGTAGAATGCATAAATAAAACATATAAAGGTAAAACTGCATGTCTATTGCCGATAAGAGAATTAAGAAATCAAACCAAAGTAAGAATATCGGAAGGTGCAAAATTGTACACATGCGTTTTGTTTCAGTTTACCTCGTTTGAATATTTTACTGATTAACTTTTGTTTTTGTTATATACGGCAATTTGTTAAGAATTAAATACATATTATTGGAAAAAAAAGTTTTTTTGATTTGCTTCATTCGTTTAGAAATTATCGACTCACAAAGTTGAAAGTGTCAACTATGGAAACACTTTTGCTCCCTACTGTATATCTTTAACTTTAACAAAAAATTAAAGAAATTTCAATAAAATTATAACAATGTCCAGTGTTTTCTCAAGTTTATAATAAACTTATATAGATTCTTCGATATTCAGTTATATTATGTCCTACAGAACTATAAATGTGTATTTATAAAATATTTATTATTGCATACTCTACAAGATAGAGATGGATCTAAGTCTTTGCCTATAAGGAATCTGTTCATATATATTCCCGATGTTTGGAAATTCAACTATTCAATTTCAGTGCCAGGAAAATAAAGTGAAGTTTATGACACCTGGTATACAATGCATTGAATGCACGGCGTTATCACTAAATATTCTGAACGACGTCTTAACCAATATGAAGTGGGATCATAAATGGGCATATAGATAGAGAGAGAGAGAGAAAGAGACAGAGGGAGCTCTACTTCAATTAAAACCTTAAAATTAGCTAATCGAATTGAGGAAAGCGTATCCGATTTGGGCTGAATATAAAGACCTATTTGATAGCTGCTAGAAAAACAAATAAATTTTATCTACAATCAATTGCTGCTTGTTAAAACGATTCTCCAGATATCAGTGTATAAATATATATATATATATATATATAGAGAGAGAGAGAGAGAAAGAGAAATGAAGTATGCAATGATTAGTGAATTGCAGGTCTACTTAGAGACTTCAGATTATATAGAATAATAAAATGAATATGATTAATGAATCCATTTGAAAGCTCTCCAGATATCAGTCAGCATATTATGACGCAGCTAAAATTAGGAAATGTCATATTATTTTTTTTAGGAAAATTTCTACCTCGGGAATCATACTACAAATATTTATTGATATATTTTTATATAGAAAGTTTTCGACTACAATCGAAATCAGTTTTCTAATTTCTAATTCGATAAGGAGATAAAAAAAATAACAAGTGAAATATGGGTGGAAAGCATTTATAGCGAGTGCGACAAGGCCGTCTATTGGCACCCACTTGTAAGACTAAAATTTTATGAACTTTGAGCAATGTTGATACTGGGAGATAACTGTTGTTCGATTCAATATGCGACATTTCATCAGCTGGATTAACTGTTGGGTGACTAAGGCAAATCACGAGCTGCACACAAACACACACACGAATTTATATACGTATAGGTATGTGTGCGAGTGTGTGTGTATACATACAGCTGATACTGTAGTCTTATTTGATTAGAGTTTGTTTTTTTTTTCTTTCATAAGCAATGGCATTTAGTGCCTGTCTTAATGTGTTGGCACTACGAGTTCCATTTATTATTATTATTTTTATTATTATTATTATTGTTTTTTTCTTTTGTTGTTGTATTTGCTTCTTTTTAGTGTGGAATGCAGTATATCAATCTTGATAGCGATAAGGTATTTTTGCTAGTGAGCCACTTGAGTTAGGTTGCGACTTTAGTCGAAACATTTACATACCCAAAGAGAGGGAGTAAGAGAGACAGGAAGCTTCTAATTTCTGCAAAGGGTCTATTTATCATATATCATGTATATATCTATCATACAGTGTCTGCTGGCAGTTCATGAACGAAGAAGGAAATGCGCATTTTTGCTAAAATATTCAATAAGCTGATAAAGCTCGCCTCGCAGCCCATCAATCAATGAATTT